CTGGTTTGGACAGAGGGAATCCATGGTCCTTTGAGTTTTCAGCTGTGACCCCGTTTCTTAGCGCTATGCCGTGCACTTCAGGAAGCCAGCCCATCCCAGGTCAGCCATAGAAAGAGGCCCCAGGTCTCAGCAGAGGCCCACCTCCCGGTTATTCTGACATGAAGCACAGACTGAGTTTGCTGCTCTCCCATGAGAAGCAAGGGGCTTTTGCAACCCAAGAGACTTTGCAACTTGCTTTCCTTCCATTCCCGGGGTGGGGAAGAGACCACTCTTTGTGAGGGGAAGTTGCTCAACTGTGCCCCCATCCCAGCCCCCTCTTCCCTGCGCCTGCTCCCCCCTCCCCACTCTTCCTCTGGCAGGAAGGTAAGGGAAATGGAAGCCTCCTCTCATGTAGTGCACTTCACCTGAATCCTTGCCTCATTTCCACATGTTTTCAAGGCGAATCTGGGGCACAGCAAAGGTAGATGCCTCCCTTCTCCAGGTAGGGGAGGGATGGAAGGCCTGGTGCAGAGGACATCTTGGTGCAGTCCTGTCCCACAGCCCTTCATAGATGTTGATCCTAACTGCTCTTTAGAAATCTGCTCATCAGAAATCTGCTCATCCAAACCTCTTACCAAACAGGTGGGAAACTGAGGCTCTGAGAAGAGAATTTCGGTCTCATGTTCATGCAGGGTCACGATTCTAGTCTACCTGGACCTCCTGACCTGCTCTTAAGGGCTCTTGATAACAAACTCTCCACGTTGCCTTCCCTGGTTCCGGAGGCCTTGCACTTGTCTGGGGCATTTGGCACCTTTTTCGGGAAGAAGAAAAGGCTCCGTGGAGGATGAGGGGAGGGAGATTTCCTGGGTGACAGCTTTCTTAAGTGTGGGGACTCCTCCCCAAACTGTCAGGGCACACAGTTTTGCTGCCAACTGGACCCAAATGGCCTTAGTGTAGCCTCAGCTCTCCCTTTTTCCAATTAGGAATGTAGAGAGAGAGAAGCAGAGTCCCTGGTAAGAAGATACACATATACTTGTGAGTTAGAGACCCTGGACCTTTGTCCAGCCCTCCTCTCTCCCTTCCTGTCATTCATTCATTCATTCATTCATTCAGTGATACACGCTCTCCCTCCCGCCTCATTCCACCTCACTCAACCGTGCACCAGGTGCGTGAGCTCTCTACCCTTTAGGAACTCCCAACTTAGATATTCATATACATGCACAGATATCAAAACGGGCCCATAAGAAAAACACTCTGAATACTCCCCCAAAAGGCTATGTCAGCTTTCATCTCTGAGGTTCAGGGAAGGTCCCACAGGGAAGGCGACATTTGAGTTGGCCCTGGACAGAGGAGGGAGGCCTGGAGGTGGGTTAGGACCCGCTGGAATGGAAACCCCGAGGAAGGAGCCCTCACCTGCTTCAGAAGCTCACTGTGCTCCAAGGTGGGACTAGAGGCAGAAGGCCGGCTGCTGGAGATATGACTGCCCCCAAATGGGCGGTAAAGGGCGGGCAGCAGTGGCACCTGGGGTGGAAGACAAGCAGAGGTCCTGCTGGTCCTATGCTTCGCCCTGCAGGGGGCATCTTGACCTCTGCATTTGTTTGAAAATGGAAACAAAGAATAACGCAGCCAACGCAGCCAGGACAGACTCACCTGTGATGGTTATTTACCTCCCCCTCGGCCTGATTCACCGAGGTCCAGGAGGATGCTCTGTGGACTGGTCCAAACATACTAGTTTGTACGGTGGGTCTAGGGGGGTGGGTGGTGGGAAGCATAGCAGAGTGACTTTGCTGGTAGCCTCCTGTCCCCGCATCCCTCAATCTGGTTCTTTGTTCCAAAGTCACTTAAGAGGCGAAGGCTCTAGATGTCCTCCCTTCCCCCACATCTACCAGGGGCGTTTCCCAGGCTCTTTCAAGGATCGCATGCCTGTGGGAGGAGGGAGAGTGTGAGGGCAGAGAGGAGTGGAGGGGGCAGGGCAGGTGGCTGGGCTCCGTCTCCACTCAGGAGCTGGCCATGTCATGGTGTTTGCTCACTTTCTCTAATCTTGGGCTTCTTGTTTTGGTTTGATGTCCTGTATGCATATCCCTCGATCCTCATTCCTTCTCCCCCTCAACACGACCTAGCCACGGATTCTCTACTGTGAGAAGATCTTTGGGCCCCACGGGCCTCTCTGCTCTGACTTCCAAGCCCAAATGTTACTGTCACATCTTTAGCTCTTGAGGAAACAGGTAAAAGATTGTAAACTCTCCCAAGTGTTCTAATACCGGATTAGCATTAGTTACCTACCAGCCCCTCCTGACTAAATTCTGGTTATAAGCTCTTCTAATCTTGCAGCTCCGACTTCATGCCTAGCACGGGTGCCCACTGCCCTCCATCAAGGCCTGTGCAGTCAGTTCTTCATCCTGGGGAGGGGCACAGAAAGAGAAGCTACTGAGGTGTCCAGGAGCCCATTTGGAGTGGACATCGTGACCTCTCAGGGTGAAACAGGACAGGTAGTGTGATAGGAGGAGACAGTGTGTTCCCAGAACCCGCTGGGAACATCAGAGCCCATGGCCTGGAGGTGTGGGGGAGGGTGCCCTTTGGGCTGCCAACAGACTGGAGCCTTCATCACCCTTCATTCTTGCTCTTATTCATGTGCTGAGCTAGGAGGGCCTCTCCCTACAGGTTTATCAGTAAGGGCCCAAAGCCAGGAGCATGTCTGCTAATTTTTTTCTGCCACTTCCTAGGTGGTCACTTTGGCCCAGAAAGTAAGTGTATGAACATAAGAGGGGAAGATGTGGTTTAGCAGCAGAAATAAGAAACAACAACAACTTAGGGTTTGAGCTTATAGTAAGCATTACAAGACTCAATGTTATAATGTGGCTGTCAAAGAGCAAATTCTATCTCTGATTGTATTATTAGAAATATGAGCGAGAAAACAAGGGAGGTGATATTCCTATTCTACTCTATATTGCTCAGATTACACCTGGCTTATTATGTTCAGTTATAGGCTTCACATTTGAAGAAAGGTCAATACAGGTATGAAAGTGAGAAAAAGGTGATCAGAATGGTGGGTGGGCTTGAAATTATATCACTCTGAGGAAGGATTAAGGATGTTTAGTCTGGAGAAGTGATGACTAAGGGAGCAGCGGGAGGCATATGACAGGTGTTTTCAAGTACACACAGATGCGCCACGTAGAAGAGGGTTATCTTTGTTCTTAGTGGCCTCATGGGTAGAATTAGGAACAATTTCTTTTCCTCTCACCTCTTCCCCGTAGAACTACTTTCTTAGAGACAGACCCTACAGGATACAGACAGGTGGAAAAAGAAACCTGGCGATTCTGGAGTTAATATAGCCCCTGGAAAGAGGGCAAGTCCTCCCCTGGGGGTACCTGGAAGGAGCAGGCATGCTCCCTGCATACCCCCACCAGGTGGAATAGAACACCTGTCTGAGCAGGTGGGGCCAAAGCCCTGAATCCAAGTCAGTAAATCAAATCGAAGCCCCTTCCGGCCATCTTGACTGCACCTTCCCACCCACGTCATTGTAGCTCTGCAGTGGACTTGTCCAGTGCAAGTGCTGTGCACGGACGTTAATTTTGGTTTGGTCTTCACTGGCCAGGCCTCTGTATCCTGAAATCACATCTGCACTCTGCACATAACATCCTGTGCTCTGGGCCTGCTTCTACAAACGTCATCTTATAGTTCCCGAGGTCCTGTCTTTCTCACTCACTAGGCCAGTGGTTCTCAACCTTCTGGCCCTTTAAATACAGTTCCTCCTGTTGTGACCCAACCATAAAATTATTTTTGTTGCTACTTCATAACTGTCATGTTGCTACTGTTATGAATCGTAATGTAAATATCGGATATGCAAGATGGTCTTAGGCGACCCCTGTGAGAGGGTCGTTTGACCGCCAAAGGGGTCGCATCCCACAGGTTGAGAATCGCTGCACTAGGCCATGGACCTTTTAACCCCTTCCCCGGCAGAAACGTGTATACTCGTTTCCACAAAATGTTCTTTTTCAGTCGTCAACGAGTATACTAAGAAAATATGGTAAAAAAAATATGGTTTATAGGAAGACGAGTTACAAACTGTTTTCATAACCAGCATCAAAAATACTATATAGAACCAAAATAAAAAAATTAGTCTGAAAAAGAAACGTTTTTAACAAAAAAATTGTTGGGGAAGGGGTTAAAAGAAAAGAAAGCCCTACATTTCCTTCTCTGAGACATTCCTGGCTTCTTGTAGGTGCTCAATAAACATCTGTTAAATGGGTAAAGGTGAAGAGAGGCTGTGACTGAGGAGACTTGGGGTCCGGGTCTTACACTCCCTTCCCTTCATCCTCCTGGCCCCTCTCCGCTCCAGCATTGATCAGAGCCTGTCCCAGAGTTTCAGGAGCTGGGACCAGATGTCCTGCTCCTCGGGGCTGAAGGTCCCTCATCCCTGAGGTGGGCACATTCTCTCGAGGCTGTAGAGGAAAGGAGCTGGGCCAAAGCCTGCCTGTTGAAGGTCTCCTCTCTCTGGCCCCTCCCTCCCAAGGCCTAAGCTAGTTCTCCAGGTGAGGGGAAAACCCTAGGGCCTACCTGTCCCCTTC